CTTCATCCCATGTTGTCTTCTGGCGATTATTTCTAACTACCAAGAAGGGTTGTTGCAGGTGTGTGTTTCACTCCCATTGCTGTTTCTTTTATGGTTTACGTTGGACATGTGGGCCTAACAGTATACTAAAAAGAAATAGATTTTGATTCATAAATAAATATACATAATTTCAAAAAGATTTATCCATACTGTTATTTGTGTTGTTAAGAGTAGTGGTTAATTCTCAAGGCACTTTCAAACATTAATTTTATTTGGTTGCTGTTATGTTTGTTTCAATGTTATAGTGCCCATCCTCACAAGCATGGACAGCCAAGATGATGAGGGGTCATTTGTCCTTCTACCTGCAAAGAGAAAAAGACGAACAAATTTTGACAAGTGTGTAATCTGCCAGATAGATACAGATGAGTCCCTAAGAACACCACTGCCGTCCTCTATACCCAAACTGATTTCTGCATTAGAAATCCGTGAAGACGATGTGTATGAACGTCTGAAGCCTGACATTGGACATCTGCCAGAACTTTCATTTCTTTGGCATTCCAAATGCTATGAGGCCTTCACAAGCAAGGAAAATCTGCGTCACTTTCTGAAACGGAGACGTGCCATTTCCCCGACTCCATCAGAGATTTCCACAGTCAGTAGTGCGGGTTCAAATACAAGTAGTGGAACACCACGCGTGTCCAGATCCAAATCTACTCCCACTGACTGGTCGAAGTGCCTGTTCTGCAAACAGCTAACCCACAAAAAAGTGAAATCGATGGTAGCGGCCAGCACATTTCAAGTCTGTGAAACTATTTATCATGCTGCTGAGTGTAGAGGAGATGAAGAGCTGCTGCGGGTGCTGCGTGGTGTCAATAATGACCTTGTGGCAGCTGAAGGAAAGTATCACAAAGCCTGCTTTTCCACATATGTGAGCAAGTCAAATCTCAAGCGCCAAGTTGCCATCGAAAGCAAACAGGAGAGCACATTTGACATTGCAATGAGAGAGTTGGTTGCAGATATTTCA